AGAAGAGGTTGTTTTGATGCCCAACTGTCCTCAAATTGATCATCTCAACATCAAGATGCATGGACATGAGAAAAAAAAATGAATTTCAAGTTTTGGAAATAATGTTTTTTGTAATGTATTTTTAGACCGTCAATTTTCAAGATTTTCAAGTTTTCATAGATTTGTCAATCTACACTATTTTTAAAGCTTTCAACTTCATAGATAAATATGAAAATATATTTTAAAGTTATCATAAAGATTTTCAGTATTGAAACCACATTTCTCGACACTGTTTGAAGGTAGGCTCTAATTTGATTATTTAAAGCCTAAGCTCTATACAAACCGCACCCTTTAAAGAATGATTAAACAAAGCACATCCAAATGATGTTGAAAATTAATGAAAAAATGAATTTTAAAGAATCAATTTGTGCTCAAGGGTATTTTTGAAATTTTTAAAAAGACGGAAAAATATAAAAATATTTATGCCCAAAACAATTTCTAATTTTGCTATAATAATGGAAAAACATTAAAAATACATTACAAACAAAATCTCTTGTTTTATATAATTTTTTTTAATTACTAGGCCAATACCGGTCAGAATGGGCGATTTTTCCAACAACGGTGCCAACCTATTTCAAGGTGGCAAATAATTTGATAGGGCTGCTGCCCTATCAAAGTAAGTAAAGCCGTGCCTTATAACTCATCCAAAATTACAATTCAAGCATTGAAAAACCTTGACAACAATATTTCCAACTTGAACATTATGATTGTAGAAAAAATAGGATTTCAAACTCTAAAAATAATGTACATTGTAATAAATTATCTAAACAGTCTATTTTACCCTAAAAATAAACGTTACATATCCACAAGGTCTATTTTTAATTTTAAATTGATTTTAGAGCCATCATAGAGATTTCTTTTGCAAAAAGAGCTTTCCAAACGAAAAATTGAAGTGAAATTTTATATTATTTTCATATTTTTAACTTCAAATTGACTTTAGAACCATCATAGAGATTTCTTTTTGCCAAAGCTTTCCAAACGAAAAATTGAGGTGGGGTTTTATTTTGTTTCATAAAGCGTAAGCCTTATAAAAACCTCATCCTTTCAAGATTGATGAAGAAAGGGGAACGGAATGGAGAGGTATACTTCATCCACGTCAATAGGGAACGGAATGGAAAGGCTGACGCCCTTGCCGAAGAACCTATACATCCAGTGACTTCACTTCATTTTCTTTTATTTTCTTTGTATTCTCCTTTTGTCTCTTTTTCTCCTTTTCTCTTTCTGTCTAGTTGCATTTTAAAATTCCAAATAAAAAAAAATTGATGAAGAAAGGGCAACCCCATTAGGTGGGATAAGGCCAGCATCCTATCCCATTAGAGGGAAGGTTCTCATACAATATGTGGCTGCTTTTGATTAATCAATAGGAGCAATATTAACCGGTGCAACAAGGAGAGCAAGGCTCTGGCTTTATACTACTTGAACCACATGATAGTATGTGCAGAATACACACATTTACATGAAAATATATGCATTCTCTCATTAGCTACTTTCTATAGCATTAGCTCATAGTGCAAAATCTCCCAAAAAAATATTATTTTCAGGGGGTTTCGCAAATTTGGTAGATGAACCATTCTCATTCTGATAAACATGCTCATGAAAAAAATAAAATAAAATAAATTTTCTGAATGTCTTCACCAAATGCAAGGGATTTATACAATTTGCTAGCACCTCACCAACAGCATGAATCTCATATGCAAGGTGTTGAACCGAAAATGTATCAGACACCGTCAAAATTGGCTTCCATCATGCATCGAGGATTAAAGTAGCCGATGGGCCAGTGAAAAGTTTCATCACTTGATACATCGTCCCAATGCAAGTTAACAACGAAAGTAGGGCTATCACTTGTTCAAAACTGCCTTGTCAAGGACCTGTGATTACAACATTTATGTGTTATTCTCCACTTAGATCAGCATTGTCACTTTTTCAAGGAGGCTTCATCAAGGACTAGAGAGAGAGGGAGAGAGAGAGAGAGAGAGAGAGAAAGAGAGATCCCTTCAGGCATGCGAAACACAGAAAATCACTAACAGGGTAAGCTGGCACACATGCAACCAAAAATTACTACTGGTAACTGATAATGTCACTGACGAATGGTAATAAATTTGGAAGAAAATCTTACCAAAAAAAAGGCTAAAAACATCATCATCAACAGAAACAATATCAACATGACTAACTTGAATTATGACAAAATCAATTTACTACTGTTACTCCACGTATTAGTATCACAGCTGGTTTTTTTTTTTTAAGAAAAATATCAAGAAATATGGAAAAGCAACTCAACTATGAGCATTTATATGAACCCAAAAAAATAAAAGCTTGAGGAGCATTTACACTGGAACTTTTTCTTAAAAAACAGCTGCTAAAAAATATCCTTTGGAAAAGGTGACTTTTTTAGGCTTTGAAATAGTATCTTTTGGTTTTTTTTTGCCCCCTTTATTGAAAGGCCATAACTTTAAAGTTATTACAAACCAAAGAACCTCTAATTTTCTGTGGTTTTGACATCATATTTAAAATTACTTTTCTCGTAATTTTTTGTAGCATAGTTCTAAAATAAATTTATTAGTAGCCACTTAGGAGTCTTTTGTTGGGAGGATCATTCTCACCAATGCAAGATCTGCTCTAGAAATCTGTAAGAGTCAATGAAAAGATGGAAAGAATGCAATAGGAGTTTCTTCGGAAGCGTGGGATTGGAGGCTGAGGGGCACAACTGCCATATTCCATTTAAGAGAAGTTAATTTAGGAATAAGTAGCCTCGACAAGTTGGCTAAGGCATAGTTACCGTGATCTCTTTCCTTGCTTGGTAATCCCTTGTAGAACCTCGATTCTTTCTATCCCAGAGCGGATCTCGTCTGAACCTCAATTTAGTGTTTTTGGGATCTCGCTCTATCTTATAAGGGAACAAGTTCCTTACAATTTAATTTCGCGTTCCTGCACATTACAAGATCTAGTTCCCTAGTCACATGGTTCGCACGAAAGTGCATTGGGATCTAGATTCCAAAATAACATAACATAAGCATTATCATATATGGCATCCAGATCCCACCAATATGGGATCGCTTTAAAGTTCCTTATTTATTTCATAGAAGACTAAGCATACGTGCTGTTCATTAACAACGCCGGGAGCTACATTTTAAAGCCACGGATCCTTACTACCTACACGAAGAACTCTTGTTCTAAGAAAATGGAGCCCACTCCTATAATAGTTATTCCTAACTCCATAATATGTTGGATCACTTTTAGTAATGCGTTCCCAGAGTAAAGAAACTCAAAAAAAATGCCCTTGGGAACTTCGCTTTTTACGTATAGGATCTCTCACCTTTATATAATAATTCTAGATCCTATGTAATAATGGAGCATCGATCTCCAATACAAATAGACCTCGATCCCGACCTTTGAGCCTGTACAGGCACCGATCCCCAACACAAGGATCTTCAGTATAGCTTTGATCCGCCGATCCCTTCCCCAATCTTGGAACCGTTCCCGTTCTCGTACCCAACAACTGTGGGAAGGCATGGGAATCAAGAAAGCATTATATGAACACATAAGTATTCTTGACTGGTTAGCAGCTGACATTTAGCAGCATTACATCTCGAGTTCAATTCCTATAACTAAACTACCAAAAAAAAGGACCAAAGGAATCTAAGGTCATCAGTGTTTATCACCTCCAAACAATGAAAGGATAGAGATGCAGACTGAGGGAATGACACACAGTGGACATGGGAAGGGCAATAGGGATTAATTGTTTCAGTTTTCTATGCCTTGGAGGTTCATTAATAAGGTTAAGATGGTTAGTCATAAGGAGAATGAGATCTTGGATATGGGCCAAGTTCAGTGCCTAGTGAGGCATATAGGACATTCATAAATATGGCTTCACGTTCAACCTAAAAGTTTAGGATCATGGATTGTTTGAAGAGTGTGTGTGTGTACGTGCATGAATGTCTTTGTATGTGTTGGCTGGAAGCATCACTTTATCTCATGGATGAGGAGACAGTGAAGATTAGTAACACCTTCAATTGTCCAAAATGAACAATCATTGTAAAAGCTGGGTTAGAGAAGGATACAACCTCATTCTTGTATTCTTTCTTGGTTGCTTGGGACTGGGTAATGCCATCTTGTCAAGGCCGTTTGCTTTATAGTTGGATGGCAACATAGAACATGATTTTGATTGGGTATCCCCTTTAAGCAAGCGCTCCCATATCCAAAAGCACTTTATTACGTACAAAGAGGAATGGAGTGGACACAGAACCATCAATTACTGTAATCCTTGTTCATAAGTTTTGCAATAATGGTTTTGGAGTTTCTTTCTAGACCATTTTGTGTTCTATGGTTGATGCTGGAAATATTAGCTTTCCAATTAGGTGGTTGGTTGTTGGGCTCTTTCCTACTCCAAGGGAGCTCTCTATAACTCATGCCTGCCCTGCACTTATCAGTAGCTGAAAAGGGGGTAAGGACAGACCTCTAGATTTGTATGTATTGGAAGTGCAGTGACAAAGGAGACAAGATTAAAATCATTCTCATATATAGTTCATACTTTCGCCAATCACTATATATATATATATAAACTTTCCAGCATAAGATAATCATATTACATCTTTAAAAATTGAGCTTCTTGAAAGTGTACAACTTGCATCTGAAACAAAAATTGGCCATTCCATAGATTTTTTTTATTAATGATACTTTTCAGAACATATCAAAGTTCAAACTTACAAATTCTCCCTAAAAAGATGACATGAACTACCTTTTCTATGCCTTCCATTTCTGCTATCAATTTATCAAGCTCATCCCGGTCATATTCGGCTAGCAAAGCATCGGTTTCTCTGTCTGCTTCAGTTGTTCCCTTGTGCTCCTTCAACATGCCAGGCTCCTTCGATACAAACAGCTCTAGCCGGAGAAGTGGTTTGCTTATCATATCCATGGAGCTGCTAGACACAGCACACTGCAATATAATATAATACACTAATATAAAAAATACAATTATCTTCAGGACAAACATACAGTAACAAGAAAGGAACCTCTTTTGTCCGTGTGTGTATGCTAGGATTCCTTCAATCAGTTGGAGACAGTTCAAACAAATACAAACATGCTTATGAACGAATTTCATTTTCTCAAAAAATGCCATTGAGATGGTATATGGAGCATACTTTTAGCTTCCAATCGAAATCAAGCAATTCATGAGCTGGGATGGCCCTAGAACCATTCTCATTCATTTCTCCCCACCAACCACAATCCTTACCAAAAATACTTTGACCATATATCTGCAATCAGCAATTGTGAATCAATAAAAAGCCAAAAAGCAAGTGCCATAAGTGTAAAGAGCATAGTCATGAGGAGAATTCACTTAGAAAATAAATAAATCAAAGAAGAAAGATAAGAAAAGGGAACAAATATGATTGACAAGCTTTCATCATCATCATCATCCGAGCCTTATCCCAACTATTTGGGTTCGGCTTATGATTGACTAGCTATGGCAACTGGACAAAAAACTTTACTTCAGTGCTGCAAGAAATGCAAAAGGCTGGCATGTCTTTCAAGTATTTATAAAAAACTGGCTTCTAAATATATCAAAAGATAAACATTAAGTCACCAACTAATAGGCGATCTGCCAATCCTTTTGTGGAGGACAGTAACATCATGTTCAAATTCAACACAATACAGTCACTTCTCTGTCTCCCTCCCAAAAATAAAAAATAAAAAAAGAATCATGTTCAAATTACATACTCACTCAAGCCCAATTACCTGAAATCCTTAACAGAATCATAATATGACTAAAGTGTAATTCATATAATCTAGCCTCCTATGAAAAATTAGAGCAGTGCATGTCAATGTTTGCATTGCTGGTTTTTACACCATAAAAATACACAAACATGTATGTATAAGCCCACGTATACACAAATATATCACTAGATGTGTAAAATATGTGTAAAATTGGAGTAGAGGAGCTAATTTCACCAGTTTGGACACGATCTGCCTCATCTCATCAATGTTTTGGTCAACCATCAACCCCCACCCCCCAAACAAAAAACAACATACTTGGCACATAGTTTGAGAAGTGCAATTTCTAAATGAGAAGAAAGAAAATGCCCAAATATATATGGTATGGTATGTCAGAAAGAGACTAAATTGACCTTTACTAGAACCAAATAAGAAAAGATTCAATGTACGACATAAATTACATTCGAGCAAAACAAATAATAAATTACAACACCACCATTTTTACATTCAACCATACCACTCTGCAGGGGAGTATTCCCTGATGCATTATAAGATGTATGTTGAACACCGCAATCAGCAGCAGGAATTTTAATAGATTTCTCAAACTTAGTTTCAATAATCTTATGAGGGAAACAAATACATGTCATCGTCTTCAGATATCCTTTATAAAAACCCAAGAATACCAAGAGAAATCATCGGCAAATAACATAAGTAGACGTGCAAGTTTTGAAGCAACAAGAGGTTCCACACATCATTGAAATGCACAATTACAAACTTGAAGAACTTCTCAATGATGGTAAAGAAAAATAGAAGACCTGATGATCTGGCCATTTTTTGGTGAAGACAGCCAAATAGAAGACCAGAATAAGTGAAGTTTGTCGTTATTAAAATATGCCAGTTCCCGAAAGACTTGGAAACAATAACACACATTGGCCAGCTCTTAATCAAAGGAAAGATGTCCAAACAACCAAGGTCTCTTTAATTGGCTTCTTTTTTGAGATATCATTATCATGCATTTTAAAAGGAAATAATGAGAACACAAAAGAGAACAATCTTGATCAAGCAGCAAACTAAAACA